TTGAATGCAGCATTTTTGTATCATCATAAAAATTTATTTTCAGTTTTGATATCAAACTACAGTTTAGCCTGTACAGTTTTTTTTTCCTTTGTTATTATTTAATTAGCTATGATTTTTCTTTTGGTCTCATGATCTTGTAAAACATTTTTGTAGCCTCGAAATTTCACAACAAATTGATAAAAGTAGAGAGTAAATTGATTTCTCTTACCTTGTATCCAGCGCAGCATCAAGCAAGATCATACCTAATTAACGTGTAATCCAAAAAAGATGCTGTAGATGGAAGATTGAAAGATCACAAAACACATTTTTATTCATACATAAAATTCTCTTAAGATTCGTTAGTATTCCAAAATACATATATCGAAAGAAAGTAATATAATAGAGAGTGTCACTCTCCTTTCCTGAAGGAGTAAGTAAAGAAAAAAAACGAGTTACACAATTAACTCCTTTCCAGCGTTTCCAGTTCATACTCTTTATCGCGCTATTGGCGACTTGAATACCAACATTCTATACACCTGATTTTCTTAATTTAAAAAATACCCAAACATGATTATTTTGCATTACTTAAAACATTTTTGCACCTCAATGTATATGTTTATGGCAAGTGCTTGCAAAATAAAAACCACATAAATGCTAATTTTAATCTTTCATTTCAACACTTTCAAAATTCTATAACTGAGCTTTTTCATTATTGTTTTTCTCAACAGATGGCCTTACACTTATTTTTGCTTTGTATAGCATATTGATTATTGATTTCTATATAAAGCAGTTGTCACTCCTCTGCAATTTTTTTTTTTTTTTTTCCCTTCTTCTTGTAAAGAAGTGGTATTGATTGCCTTTGAGAATATCTTTGAGACATAGAATACCTTTCAGTTTTATTTAAAATAGATTCCTGGCACTCTAAGTCTGCCTCTTTTTGGAGGGAGGAGTCCTAATATAATAAACAAATGTTAATTTAATGTTAAATGTCCTATAATTAAACAAATGTTTTTAAGTGGTAGTAATTTTATCAGCTGTAAAGATATTTATCCTTCCTTTAATCTATTAGGTGAATGCCGTTTCTTTGGGATATAAGTATCATTATCTAACCGTGTTATGTTATGAGAAAAATGAACCTTAATATGAGGGTTGCTATTTATATTTCTGGTCTAATAATGAAAAGACAAATGTCATTTCTTTGGGTGTCACAAATCGCTGACCATGTAATTTATTTTTGATGTGCGGGAATAAAAAATAATCATTTTGTGCCAAATCAGGGTTGTATTGATTGTCCTGCGTTGCTGTAACTCCACTGTCACCACGTAACCGGTAAATGCTGAAGAAACAGGCAACTATTTGCTTAGACATGCTTCTTCCATGAACAACTTTTGTTGGAATTGGCTCGTCTTGGAAGACCCATACAGTCGACTGCTGTTTTATTTTGAGCTCGTATGTTTAGATCTAAAATTTGTCATTTATGTAGATGTTATATACAGCCTTTGATGCACCTTGAACATATTTGTCTAACATTTCCTTGCATTAATCAACATGATCCTTCTTTTGAGCATTTGTCAGATTATGTGCGATCCAACATGAACAAATCTTTTTACGGCCAAATTTTCATGTAATATCTTATTGATGCTTGTCATATTAATGCCCAAAGATGCCTCAGTCTCATAGTATGTCAGATGACGATCTTGCTTTATCATTTCACACACAGCATTGACATTTCCTGGCACAACATCCAATTTTGGACGACCTTCACAGAATTCATCCTGGGGTGAATGCCAACTATGACTGAATTCATTATACCAGTTTTTTACAGTGCTGTAGGGTGGTGCTTCATTTCTGCATAAAGAATTGAGTTCATTGAAGCACTCTTGTCTTGATAATCCATGTGGAAAGTTATGAAAAATAATCGCACGGAAATGTTCACGAGTAAATTCCATTTTTTATCCAATATGAATTTTTCAGTTTTCTATAAACAACACAAATCATGTTAAAATGGCAAAATGTTCTGAAGAAGTTATGGTAAAAAATATCAAACTTATGATTGGAATTGTCTGTGGTCGCGTATCAACAGTTAGTGTTGCCAAGGCCAGAAATATAAATAGCAACCTTCGTATAGTTTATTCTCTTGCATCCAGAATCTCATTTTTGTTTAAATCATCTTCCTTAAATTTCCATAAATTCTTTTCTTAGTTATCTATGAAAGAAAAAAATACATCTTTATACTATAGATATATTATAGTGTTAATATATTAATGTTTCAGAAGTTCATACCCCTGTGGCAGGAGATTTAAACTGAGTATTCAACTTAATGCTGATCACCGAGTTCTTTGAACTGGTTTTCAAGCTACTACATTAGAACTATTTAACTGGCAATACAAACACATGTCAAGTGAAAATCAAATAAAGATTTCTTTTTGCATTCACTTTTAGTGAGCTACAAAGGATTGACTTAAGATTCAGCTTATGTACAATAAGTCTTATTTAAAACTACGGCTGGTAAACTGCATTATTTTTAAATTTATAAAACATTTTCTATGACACAACTGAACAGAGATAGTAACACTTAGACAGGGACAGTAGTGATATGGTGCAAGTTCTAATAGTCTTACAAATGAGATCAATCTCATGCCTACTATTAAATTTACATAACTTTCCAGTCTGAATAAATATTATGATAAGAGCTAAGAAGAACAACATAGAGCTTAAGTCAGATCTGACTGTAAAAGATTAATTGTCGCAAGTTTTTTTAAATATTAAATTAGCATAAAGACAATACCTGTGTGACTTCACAAGTACAAAAGTCATGCTTATACAATATCACAGATTCCTGTCTTTTTCTTGACTTTAATGAACTTTTAAAACATGATGTGCATCATAATTTTAATTACAGCTATGATGCAATATTGTTGTTATAAGCTGAATTCAGCAAATAAATGTTATGTTACTGTGTCATCTTTCTTCTCTTTCTAAAATTTGAAAAAAATACATTATTATTAGATTCAATGGTAGGTCAGTCAGAAAGCTTATTGCTCTACTGCATACATATGTTCCGTCTAAGACTATTTGGATGACACTGTGTGGCAACACTTCAGACACCTTTATCGCGTGACGTAGCGGCTTCCCCGAGGCAAGTTTAGTTTTTCTGATAATCAGTTGCAAACATGTCTCGACAGCTGCAAATAGCGTCCAAATTGGAAATGTGTGCAGTGAATCGTTTTTTGTGGGCAAAAAGGTGCAACTGCACTGAAATTTATGGGCAGTTGCATGAAGTGTATGATGAAAATGCAATGTCAGGTCAAGCTATCACAAAATGGTGCAACATGTTTGAGATGGACGTACAGATATTGACGACGCTGAGCGCAAGGGAAGACCATCAATTACAACAAATTCGGAAATCCCTGTTTGCATGAATGAATGCATTCTTGCAAACAGACGATAACGATAGATGAAATCTCAAATGAACTGGATATTTCTCATAGAAGTGTTCGTAAAATTATTGCCGATCATCTTAAATTTCGTAAAGCTTGTGCTTGATGAGTGCCACATCTATTGATAAAGGAACATAAAGGAAAGCGTTTTGAAAGAGCATTGCATTTCTGCAATGTTATCAAATGGAAGAAAATGAGTTTTGGGAAAAATTGTGACTGGAGATGAAACTTGGATTCACCACTTCTCACCTGAAACAAAACGGAGCTCGCTCGATTGGAAACATTGCAGTTCCCTGATAAGAACAAAGTGTCGAACTGTTCCATCTGCAAAAAAGGTGATGATGATGCTGTTTTTCGACAGAGAAGGCGTTGTGCATACAGAGTTCCTGCCGAAGGGTGCCACAATTAATGCATTTTCTTATTGTGAAATACTAAAACGATTGTGACAATCACTTAAAAATCGACGGCCATGTAAACTGTCGACTGCCATTGTGCTGCAAGATCGCATGCAGCAAAACAAACATGTGACCCTCAGAAAAAGCTTAGATGGGAAGTATGGAATCACCCTCCTTATAGCCCAGACCTTTGACCTTCTGACTTCCATGTGTTTGGTCCCATGAAACAAGAATTTTCAAAGCGACGGTACCATTCGGATGCCGAAGTGAAAGCTGCAGTCCAACAATGGTTATCAGACATTGGACAGGATTTCTTTGCAGAAGGCATCGAAAAACTTGTACCATGCCTCAACAAATGCTTAAATAATGGAGATAATTATGTTGAAAAGTAGATTTTGAATGGAAGATATAAATAAGGTTATTGTAAAATTTTGCTCCTTTTTTGTTTTCTTAGGCAATGCAACTAACTTTTTGACTGACCCTTGTATTTGTTTTATGTCACAGTGTTCTCAATCATAATGGAAGGCTTTCTAGTAGTTAATTAGTGATCATTTTAAAATAGATTAACCCATTTGAGGAAAAGTCTGTACTTACAAACATTGGTAACCTTGGTAAAATCCTACTTTTTAATCTATAGCTATCTAGCGTGATTAATATTTAAATTTGCTTATTTAAGCTAAAAAGAAAAATTTCTTTTCTTTTCTTTTTTTTTAAGCCAATTTGTGACATCAGAAACACAGTTAATGGAATCATATGCTTGCTACTTCCTGATGAGACCTATGTGTGATTTCAATGTTCATCTAGTTTCATTTTGCTTTTCCTATTTAAAATAAATTTTGCTTTTTCCTATTTAAAATAAAAGAAATTTGTAAATTTTCCGTTTATTGCTGTCTGGTATTGCTGTTTGCTTTGGCATTCATATTTTTCTGTTCCATCATAAGTAATTCTGTTTTGTCATGTATTTTACTATTTATTCACACTTTTATTGTTTTTATTTTTGAATTTATGCATTTTTAATGACTGACAGACTGATTTTGGGTGAAAGAAACCGATATTAAATATTTCCTTGTAGCATAAATAAGCAAATTTAAATCTTTATTAACTACATTTGCAATTTATGCACATTTTAAAATCAGTTATTATATTACATTCTTTTTTGTTATCTGTATATGTTACATTTCTGTAGCACCACCATACAGAAAAATAGCAAGTCTGGATAAAAAAAGTGTACATTCAAGAATTATTTGGAGTTGCTCATGGAGTTTTGATAACTTGTACTTTGTTACTGCTTCACGAGATAAAAAGGTATCTAAACTTAATTTTCTTTCATTTTTCTATGATAAGAGAATATTCTGTTCTCAATCATAAAAAGGACAAAAAAAAAAAAAAAAAAAAAAAAAAAAAAAAAAAATCTGTGTGGATGCACTCAGCTAATCAGTGTTTACATTTACAGATTATCAAGTGTTGTCTTACTTTTTTATACATTCGCTATATTACTTGTAATGAAGAACAAAGTGTCAAAATATTTAATCAGATTTATACTTATGTTCAAATTAGGCTGCTGTGTAGTTCTTCATTAGAATAAATCCACTAGTAGCTGTTATAAAACAAAAACTTTTATTTTCACAATTTACATATATGCACTCTTACAGTTCTTCACTTGATTACATAGTTCCTTTCGTTTCACTACCCAGTTCAAAACTAAAACAAAACAACTGCTTCATTTCTATGCTGTGCTATAAACTGACTAGATAGAGCTTCATTTCTCTATCTAGTCAGCTTATAGTCTGTAAGATTATGTATGTTTGGGATGTAAACTGATAAAGATATCCAGATATCTTCTGTAAAAATTGTAATTACTTGGAGTTGTTTAAAAAAAATTTCAAATTTTTGGTTTTGTTAAGTTGCCCATTTTAACTATTATTTATTGTACTTTAGTTATTGTTTTCCAGTGTTGGCAGTGACATCCGCATCTTGGATTTATTTTCCATTTTTTAATTTTCTTATTCTCATTCTTCTACAGTTCATACCATAGCGAGTTTCAGGCATTCACTTATTCAATTCGTTAAAGAATCAGGAGCTTACCAGTGTAACAGATTGTATTGAGTTATTTATTTATAGCATAGCACAAGAGGGCTGTCTAATGTTCATCTCAGAGTTTTACATCCCTCCTTCCCTAACCCCAACCTCATGAGAAGAATTTTGGATCTGAAATTTTTAAATGTTGTATTCTACGAACACATCAAAATGCATTGCTTCCAACTGTCCCAGCTGTACCGTGAGAATCTCGGTCTCTCAGTAGATCACTAAATCTTCTAGTTTTCAATTTTTAGCCTCTATTTGGGAAGTTATGTTTTTCTCTCTCAGCAACAAGTGAAATTTAAATTGTGCAAATTTTATTCTTTACCATTGTGATTTTCAGTATTATTTTTCTTATCGATCACTCCTTGGTCGGCATCGTGCGTCAAATGTTCAGCTCTTATGTGTCTGTACAGTTGGCATTTCATGTCAGAAAAGAGTAAAATTGCATCATTGAAACTGAAACTGCCTCTATTTACAAGTCTTATTATGATCATTAATTATTTTTTTGTATTTCTGAATATTGCTAAACGTTGGCACAACTAATCGCAAATTTTTTACAGTGAGATTTGCCGGTTGAATGGAAAACATAATCATTTTGTATTTTCCCTAATTTCACTTTCTTTAGTTATTGTCACACTTCAAAGCAGCATTTATGCTTAAGTCCGATGGCAATCAATAAAGTAGCCAAGAAATCTTTTTGACAAAGCAATAAAATAATTTGCAGTAAATGATATTTCAATGTGTTTTTTATGCTCTAATGTTCAAGAAGATTTATAAAGCTGTTTTCATGATAATGATGTAAAACTATTTTTCAAAATATTTTTTCAAGCTGTTACTTATCTTAAATACCTCAAAGCAATAGATTTGATATATATAATGTCAAAGAGAATTAATTTAAAATTTGGTGCATTGCTTGGAAAATTAGTTATCAGTGAATGGGATATCACATGTATGGACCCTCCAGGACGTCAAGCAAAAAACTGCTTGCTGATTTAGGAAAAAACATTTGTTAATGTTCAGTAATAAAAAAATGCTTTATTTGGATAAAAAATTCAGAGAAAAAAAAAATCTGGGCAAGAACAGGTTAAATTTTATTTTATTTGAACTGTCTCAATTTACTGTGTGTAGTGTGTAGAACCTTATGTGCATATTCATTAATGTTTAACCCATTAATATTTATTTAATTTTGTTTAACATAAATACATGGCATATTATTAAGTTTGCCTGCACAGTACTATGTATCGTATTTAAAAGTAGTTAAATAAAAGCTAAATTAAAGCTATTCTTACCTGCTCAGGATTTCCTCAATTTAAAAATCTAAAATAATTTTTAAATAAAACTAACCAAAGAACATAAAATTTAGAATACCTGGTTAAAAATTAATGTCTTTTATATTAGTTGAGTAATTTTACAAATAGTTGAACAACTTGACTCATGTGTTCTAAAGCTAATTTAAGTCACTTTGGAGTTCTTTTATAAAGTGCTGTTGTACAGCTTTAAAACCTCCCAAACACCCAGTTTTTGGTGAGAGAACCTTCCAGTTTTTCATACTCCAAGCTTGGCAGCTATGACAGTAATTGTCCATGCATTTTTAAGAATCAGATGGAATATGAGTATTATGGATGTCTGTTTTTCTCTGAAGAAAACTATTGTATTCTTATTTTTTAGATGACCACAGTCACAAACATTCATGCTTGTAGGAATTACAGATTTAGGAGATAGAATACAAGTATTTTTTATCTCTTTTTCTCCTACCCCACCTTGTGGAAGGACATTTGGATCCATAGTTTCCAAATGTCCTCATTTTTCAATATCATGATCACAAATATCCATGCTTAATTAGGGATTTGAAACTGAAATCAATAACACCCATGGAACAGTTTTTAAGCTGTAGCCAATCAGAGAAGGTAAAATTGTGCAAGCATAAATGTGCCACCAGCTCGGCTGACTCATCAACTGGATGCCAGTTCTCTTTTCCTTCATTGTAATTGGTTAGTTCTTGTACCAAACTGGTATTAAATTGAACGTTAGAACATTAAATGAAAATACTCAAATGAGTTTCTGTAACAGAGCAATGGCTGGTTGCCTAAAAATAGACATTTGGCTTATGCCAGCTGTGACCATAAAGACTTCATCTGATTGTTCCCTTCCTTTACGTTTGCCATTCATATATCTAATTAAATTCCACACCAACATTTCTGTTTGGCATCAGGTGGTGCCTCTCTGACTGAAAAATGCCATAAAAGTATTAGGTAGTTTGAGAATAAAGTTTTCTAAAATATACAGGGTCGGATTAAGATTTTAGATAGGCCCTAAGGACTTATAAAATTTTGATACCCCACATACATTTATGTCAATCTATTCTCCCATTCCTTTTGTCTTGATTTTGATTTAAGTCCATGATAAAATGAAAAATTTTTGTGCTTGCTCCTTGCCCAAGTGCCTAAGTATCTATTGCGTGTCCGCTTTCCTTGATAGCAAGCACATGCTTATTTTACGTAATGATTAATATAGCTCTGAGTATATATCATATTTATAGTTGAATTGAGGCAGTTTTAAAATATCTCCATATTAATGATAATTTTCAATAGTTGTTTAACAATGATTATCAAGGTTTCAGTATATTTTGAAGCTTTTACCTCTTAAATATCAAAATAATTTAAGCTATATTTTAAGTCTCGTTTTATGTAGGTATTATTTTCTTTCAATGGCTCGATAAATGCTTATGCATTTCATTATGTAGGTTGCAATATGGGAGAAAAACAACAGTTCAGACGGAATATCTATCTCTCTATGTCTACAACCTTTAGAAGTTGAAGATTCTGCAACTGCTGTAACATTTGCTCCATGTTTTACAGTTAACAATAAGTATGATTAATTATTTTGGGCACATTAACATGTTATATTGTTTTACAGGTATATATACAGTGGATGGACAAAAATATGGAAACACTTGTGAAATGCATGTTTGAAAAGAAAGATTGATTTTAATGAAATATGTAGGTGGCGCTGGCGTTTTTGACTACTGACGCCACCTATACAACTTTGTAAATGTGCTAAACAGTTCAGTTGTTCTCGGAGTACTGTTATGTGAGGTTGTCATTGCATTATGTCAGAGTTAATAGACTTCGAACGTGGGCAAATCATTGGAGCACGTATGGTAGGTGCTTCCGTAAGCAAGGTAGCCGAGATGTTTAGTGTTTCAAGAGGTACTGTATCGAAGATTTATTCCGCATATTTGAAAAACGGAAAAACATCATCTGCTAAATCACAGCGCGGACGAAAGTGTGTCCTGAGTGATCGTGACAGACGATCATTAAGGGCAATTGTGACGAAAAATAAGAAGACCACAGCTGCAAAAGTTACTGCTGAAATGAATGTTGTGTTACCGAACCCTGTGAGTACCAAAACAATTAGAAGGGAGCTTCATAAACAGGGAATTGCTGGCCGTGCTGCAATTGAGAAGCCACTCATCAGTGATGCTAATGCCCGTAACAGGAAAAGGGTGGTGTTTAAGTCATAAAGCCTGGACTATAGAGCAGTGGAAGTGAGTAATATGGTCTGACGAGTCTTCTTTCACATTGTTTCCCACTTCTGGCCGAGTTTACGTTTGGAGAATGCCATCTGAAGCTTATAATACAGACTGCTTGTTGCCAAGAGTGAAACATGGCAGGGGTTCTGTTATGGTTTGGGCAGCCATATCGTGGTTCTCTGCTAGCCCCATGATAACTGTGTCAGGGCACATGACTGCCAAGACATATGTGAACATTTTCACTGATCAAGTTCATCCCATGGTACAAACTTTGTTCCCCGATGGTGATGGTGTCTTCCAAGACGACAAAGCCCCTGTTCACACAGCTCACATTGTCCAGGACTGGTTTTCTGAGCACGAGGATGAGTTGTCCCATCTTCCCTGGCCACCACACCTAAATATTATCGAACCTTTGTGGTCTACATTGGAATGGAAAGTGCGTTCTCGTTATCCACCACCAACATCGTTATCTGAACTTGCCACCGTTTTGCAGGAAGAATTTAATAATATTTCCTTGTCAAACATACAGGAACTGTATTTATCTATTCCGAGAAGACTGCAAGCTGTTTTGCCAATGGGTTTCCTACACCATATTAAGCAAATAAATATGTTTTTTTAAAGGTGTTTCCATATTTTTGTCCAACCCCTGTATATATATATATATATATTTACAAAATTATATTGATTATATTATCTCTTAAGATTAATTATAATAGAATGATCTGAAAAGAGTGTATCTATACTTAGTAAGTTCTATTTCGAAAGATGTTTTTAAGTAACTTAAATGTAAATGTAGTAATAATGTGAATGTAATGTGCAGTAGTGGCCAAAATTCTGGACACTTTTGGAAATTTTTATGTTTTTGAATTTTGTATGCTTACAGAAAATGTTACGCTTCGCAAAATGCAAACTTGTATATATCATTTTAAAGAGAATTTATTACTAAATTCAATACAAAACACAAAATTCAATTATTTGCAATACAAAAAAAGTTATATGTTCTTTAATATAAATAAAAAACACAGTTACGAAGTGGTTTGTAATGTCTAGCTTTGCTGGCCAATCACTCTTCTCGTTCTGAGAACCAATCAAATGTTAGTAACTGCCAGTCATCATGTTTACACTTGAAACAATTCATTATTTTGCTTTGTTCTGTAGAAGGAGGACCTGTTTCTTACACACTGCAATTACAAGTAGGAATTTTTGTAAAGATTTTTAATATTTAGTCAAGAAGCAATGACATAATATTATTGTGTTACAAGAAAGTGGCCTTTCCTATGCTGAAATTGCAAGATAGGTGGGTGATTCAGTGACTACATCTGGAATCCGAAAGTTTTGTTTACGATAACAGGAGACAAATTCAATAAAAAAAATAAAGAAGGAAAAGGCCGGAAAAGGTGCACCACATCTATTGGTGACAGAAGAATAAAACGACTATGTCTCCAAGATAGAAAAATGTCATCAGTGGCCATCAGAAGTGATCTGAATGATGCTGGTGTTTCTATCAGTTCAAGAACAATCAGGAGAAGATTAACAGATGTTGGACTGAGAGGTAGAATTCCATGAAAAAAGCCTTATCTTAATTTTCAGCAACGAAAAAAAAAAGACTACAGTGGGCAAAGGAACACATTAATTGGACAGATGATCAGTGGTTACAAGTTATATGGAGTGATGTAACTAAGATATCGTTATTCGGTAGTGACGGGCGAAAATATGTAAGACGTAGAATAGAAGAAGAGCTACATCCTGACTGCATTAAAGCAACTGTGAAGAACCCAGTTAGTGTTATGATTTGGTCATGCGTGTCAGCAGATGGTATTGGTCGCCTTCATGTCATCGATGGGACACTGAATGCCAGAAAATACATTGACACTATTCTAGAACCAAAACTTCTATCTTCCATCAGAGATCTCTTTCTCAACAATGCTTCGTTTATTTTTCAGCAGGATTCTGCTCCTTGTCACACGGCCAAAATATTGAAAGAGTGGTTTTGTACAAAGAGCATTAAATTGTTGCCATGGCCAGGAAACAGTCCTGACCTCAATCCTATTGAAAATTTGTGGCACCATTTGAAAACTCTTGTCCGAATGAGGCGCCCATCAAATAAAAGGTAACTAATTGAGGCTATAATTGTTTCCTGGCATCATGTAATAACGAAAGAAGAGGTTAAAACTCTTGTCAGCTCAATGAAACATCGATGTGAAGCTGTAATCAAAAGTAAAGGGTACCCTACTAAGTACTGATAACTCACTGCAATCATCACTGTCTAATGTATATCGATAACTATTATCGTTTAACTTTTTTTGTATTGCAAATAATTGAATTTTGTGTTTTGAATTGAATTCAGTAATAAATTCTCTTTAAAATGATATATACAAGTTTGCATTTTGCGAAACGTAACATTTTCTGTAAGCATACAAAATTCAAAATCATAAAAATTTCCAAAAGTGTCCACAATTTTGGCTACCACTGTATATATATATATATATGTAATCAGGCCTGTATCACCTGAGGTCTCTATTAACCAAGCCAGTAAGTGATTTAAGAAACAATGGATAAAATATAGTAATATCAAAAAGAGTACAATGAAAACATATTTGTGAATTTTCTCAGAGATAGTCTTTTTGCTTTGCTTGTTGGTATTGAGCCATTCAGTGGCTTTTACATTAAGGTAAAAAATTTAGTTTATATGTGGTACAAATAAAAGCAGTCCTAAATGGCAATGAATTCATAGGTATGTTTCAAAGGATAAAAGGACGGTGCTTCAGAATAAATGTAGAAAACGGAAAATCTAGTTAGTAAAAAAAGGTGTTTGTTGAAATATTAGTTGTTGTACCTGTGCACTTATTTTCAGAATTTCAAATAAACAGTTTCAGAAAAGTTTTTGATTATCTGAGGTGTTTTATTTCGGATAATCAAGGTTCTTCTGCTACAATAAATAATAAGTTTAAAAAAAATCCATGATTATTTAAAATTTAATGCTTATGAATTTCAGTTTTTGGTCTTTACTGATAATTTTTCAGCAGCTTAATGCGCAAAAATACAAAGCATGATTATATTTTGTTTTTAAAACAATTTTTTTGTAATTATTTACATATATATACAGTACAAAGTCTTTAATCCGGAGTCGTCGGGACTTCGGCGATTCCTGATTAGGGGTTTTTCCGGATTATAGATCTTTCATTTAAATCCGGTAAGATGGCACGCAGAAATTATACAATTAAAAATGTGAAACCGTAATGAAAGTCTAATATTTAAATTTTAATGTTGAAAATTAAACTTTTTCTTCCTGAGCAGTATTTTCTGATCTATGGCTTTCCTAATTATAGGTATTTAATAGCTATAGGACTGGAGAATGGTTGTATAGTTTTAACTAGCTGGAATAGTATTGAAGGGTGGAGCATCTTTCGGAGATTGCAACAAAAGTATCCTTTATCACCTAATATTTTTATATAATATTTTGTGAATGTATATGTGTGTGTATATATACATATATTCATGTGTGTACAAAAAATCAGAATATTACAGTACAGTACACGAGGATGTTAAGACATTTTTAGAATGATTTCACAGCTGTTTAATTAATGTTTAAAATGCAAAGAGTATTTATTTTAATATTTGATATGATAATGTTTTTTTCTGGCTACGAGTTCACATCATGATTTCCATGATAGAAGGGTTTTTCATAAAATTTCCGAGAGCATTAATTTTTATTCCTCTTTCTTTACTTCCAACAGTCCATCTATCACAGGAGTTTGCACTTACAAAGAGTGCCTTTTGACTTACTATAGTCTATATGTGAAATATCAGGCTGCTTCGCAGGAATATGTTGAAAATGTATATATGCAACCATGTCAGTCTTCATTTTTTCTGAAAGAATGTAGGGACACTTTTCGAAGTATTACCTGTTGCTTTTTCTAGATGAAATTTCACTCTTTGAAACTCAGTGGGAAAAAGAAATTGAATTTCTTCTAAAATAACAGATGTAGAACTTTCTCTTGATAGTATGCTGAGTTAATTTTAATATTTTTCCCCCTGCTCTTCTTAGTTTTAATTCCCCATTGTAAGAGAATGCTTCGACAATCATAAAACTATTACTGAAATTTTCTTTGCATTGATCAAACGAGGTTCATACAATTTTTCTCTTTATTTTAAATAACAGATAAACCTTTTTTTGTTACAGACACTTAGATAAACTCATGCTTTTTAGAGGGTCACAATATATTTCCATTTGTCTCTTGCTAAGCAGTTTTCATACAGGGGTACTACAAATATTTTTGGTTTGAGCAGAAGCTGTGAAAATTATGTTTTTTGCTTTCTTAAGTTGTAAATCTTGGTTTACTTTTACATTTATTGTTGCTACAATTGTATTTAAAGATTCTATGACAGATGTATGTGTTGGCCGTTTTTTTTTTTTTTTTTCCCCTTCTTTTTGTGACCAACAATTTAACATAAGGAACAATGGTAAATATATGTACTTCTTTCAGGTATTTTTGTAGTCTTCTTTCCATGCCGAAGTAATGATTGACAGTTTTCTCTTTCCAGTTAATAATGTTGCTTATTTTGCACCTGGAAATTTTAATACCATGCATTTCAAAATGTTTTTTAATAGGAATATTTCTCTTTGTAAAAGCATGTAACATTTTGAAAGGCAAATAAATTTAAGGTAGCAGTCGGTTTCTCATTTAAAATAAGTTATTGCCAGAAATTTTTATTACAAAACATTTGCTATTTTTTAATTCCTTATCAAAATCATTCTAAAAATGTGTTAATTACCATCTGTATATTTATTTTCAAATGCTGAAATACACAAAACTATAGAAAAATATATAACCTTAATTTGAATTATAGTATTGCTCATCATTTAACCGTTAACAGACTAAAATTTTCTCCTACTAAAGGAGAGGCTGGATTGAAGGAAAGGAGGTCTAATTTTTTGCAGTTAGCAAGCTGCAGTACTGATCATCATGTAAAAATTTACAGTATTTTTATTAATTCTGTATCATAAACTTAGATGCCCATATATATTTATTTATACAAATTTTATTGTTTGAATAAATTTTTTAATACATTTGAATTTTTCTGTCACTTTTATCTACATATGTTTCCAAGTGCGCATCATGAATAATTATTGCTAAAAATTATTCAAATTGAAAGATATTTATTTTTAAAATTCAGTACATTTATTGCCAGAGTTTGGCTACAACATATTATTATTCTACAGTTATAATACACAACATAAAAACAAATTTACGTACACCGCCTTTGACTCGCATAAAAAATAATTTAATTTGGAAGATCACAAATAAGTCAATAACTATGTAACTACATTTAAACACACATATCACAACACAATGCCTTGTTTCTTTGGCCTTCCTTCTTTCTATGCATCAGCCATTCAAACCTCTTTGATCACCCCCTACTTCCAAAGACTGAAATCTGATTTTTTAAAGCAGAGGTTCCCAATGAGAAGAAAAAGATCGAGTATCTTTGAATGAGGCAATTTAAAAATTAAATTAAGCAATTTTATTCCAAATATGAAAAAAAAAAAGGGGGGGTTACTACATCAAGAGCAGTCATCACAGTCATCAAAATCAAACTTTAATATCTCGTTTCTTCTCCCTCAGGCCAGATTATATCATACCTATATTACTTATAAAACTAAAAATTTTTCATTCATTTTTATGATAGATAATGCAGTATTGGAGCAGCCACCACACTTAGTTGCTAAAATTGGCAAGCTTAAATTATCCAATCTGAAATACGTAGATTGCAAACTTATGTAGTGGTCAGTTTAACAAGGAGGTAACTTCCAAATAATTCTTTTCAACATGTGAGAATTTTCCTGTTAACATATATGAACCAGAAAAAAGATTAGATGGGCTGCATGTATGCTGTTTGCAAAAAGATATGAGAACTAATTCATCAGATATATAAAAATTTTCATATGGATATTGGTAAAAGGAAACATGCCCTGCACTCCTATATTGGAAAGCTGTTATTGGAATCCATGAATATGAGAAAACAACAGAATTATAGTTTTCCTTTTGCTGCTATCATTACAAGCTTGCTTCAGTTAATGGACCAAGGAGTAACTCCAAATGAGTTTTGAGAGGGATGAAAACATCATATATTTTTCAACTACATAATTGCATAGAAATAAAGAATAATATAAAAAAATCCAAATGTGCTTTCAGTAAATGCATGTTAAAAAAATAACTGGATTTTTTAAAAATATCTGGATAGGTTATAGTTACAATTAGTTCAAATATTTGAATTCTGTTGTAACCAAATGTGTATTAAATATCTCCACAACAATGTTCGCATTAATTAGAATTAATACAGACATGCCGAATGTTAATATGTAATTTATACAGTAAAAATTAAGAAAATTACTTTGTATGTTGAAACTACTAGAAAAGGAATATTGTTTATTTTTCAGAATATAAAAAAAAAAAAAAAAATGGTCTTGTTATGGGATTCATATCAATAAATTGAATTTGTTTTATTTTAATTAATATAGATGCAGCTTTTTGTTTAGATACAAAAATTTATTGTTCAATTATGTCAGAAGAAAGTGAGTTTTGTATTTTAATTTATAAGGGGGAGGGAATTTTACTTTAAATATATCAGAAAATTAAATAATTAGATAAGTGTCTCAAGAAAAATAAATTTTCATTTTTACTTGAGACACTAATTTAATTATTTCATTTTTTGCAAATATCTATAATTTTCTTGGTCCACTATATAGAGATTCCTACAAATTGTGAAATTGACAGAAGAATGAAATGGGATGATGAAAAGATTGCTATGGTTATTTCTAATTCTTTTCATGATGGCAAGAGAATAAAATCTGATGTGGATACCATGACTTCCTTGTATGGGCTATTAAATTATACACATTTCTTGCTGCATTTCATTTAAACTAATTTCCTCAGTTCCCAAGAGGAACATTGGAAGAACGAAACCGGGTGAACAAAAGCCCGCAACTTCGGAAGATCGAAAGTATCAGCAGTAGATAAGGCTACAGCGAGCTAGAGCTGAATTAATAATAGAAGTAAAGTGAAATTACATATATTTAGGAAGTTCATTGAAAGTGAGAACACCTAGCATGTCTGGGTAACTTAACGAAGAATCAGCACAAAATATATTTCAAATAATAAATGCAAGGGAACATAAAATGAATGAAATGCTAATACGAAAATGCAAATACACTTAATAAAATAAAAATGATCACGTGAATACAGTTTACCAGTAAACTAAATTTTAGAGGGGGGAACTGATTATTTTTAAAATTTTCAGAACTTATCACTAAAGTGCTAGGGATAAAGTATGGTAATATCTAAGAGATTGTGTGACACTTTCATTTACTTTATAATTAGTTAGACTTAAATTTACTTATTTGTAGTCAAAGTACAAATGAAATACTTGTGTTAAAAATAAAACTCATTGGAAGTAGTAAGATTCAATTCAGTGTGAGCAGAGAAGTGAAAATGGCCAATCTGACCTGAAGCCTGCAATGCTACATGCATCAGATTTCCTGTGACAATCCAGCATCTGAAAAATAAAATAATAAAAAATATATATTTAAATAAAAAAAAAAAATAACTGGAATTTTAGATACAAAATGAAAAATTTGAAAGAATTAGATCCAATATATAAATATATGGCAACCAAAAAATCTTTAATTAATTATAATTATGCAAAAAAACATTAAATTGGAATAAATCTTGGGATGAAAATTTGTTGGTTTTGGTTGTTACTGGACATAGGTTCCTCGTCTTCAGGTGACAAAATATTTTTTTTAAAAAATAGGAAGTGCTACAACTACTTTATATGGAAATCAACAGGTAACAAAAGTGAAAATAAGCATAGCACCATCTATAAAGGAAAACAGTAAAGAAACATGAAAAAGTTTACTTTTTAAAATTTTGAAACTGACTGAATAATAACTGAAGTGTTTATTCAGAGTGAGAACAGAGTTGTCAACTCTCCTGATTTCCGACCATAATCCCGTCAACCGAGTTTTCAACATATTTCTTCCAATTTTCTTTTATTCTTAAAATTTCTCATGATTTTTTATGTAGCTTCATTATTTGCACTCAAAAAAGTCATTTTGGGCATCGCAAAGTGCTTATTGTTCTCTAGCTACATATAAAAAACTAATGTTATTTCATCAGCGAAATATGGCACATTTCTACTTTGTGCACGAGAGTCCGAAAACATAGTGTTCCAGTTCTCCAATGAGAATCAAGCAGAGCTGCGGGCCATCTTTCATATATTAGGCAATGAGCACAACATAAGATCGAGGTTATTTATTTCTACTTTGTGCATGAGAGTCCGAAAACATAGTGTTCCAGTTCTCCAATGAAAATCAAGTGCAGCTGCGGGCCATCTTTCATATATTAGGCAATGAGCACAACGTAAGATCGAAGTTGTTTATTTCATTTGTCTCACCAGTGGGCAGCATAAAGAAAGTGGGGGCCCTAAGCTATAGCTTGTGTAGCCTATATGTAAATTCTGCACCGTTTGTGTGCTTCCCAGAAACAGTTTAAGAAACTGCCATCTTTTGTCTTAGTAATGTCTGCAGAAAATGTAAAATACTTGTGTACTTCAAAAATCGTACATAGAAGACTTTCCTACTATTATTTCGTCAAAAAAGTGTATGCTATTATGTGTATAGTTTGTCATTGCGATTTTTCGATTTTACAGGGTGGAAGGGCCGATGTTCTTAAAGATGTGCATACACAACAACAATGTGAGTTGTATCGGGGGGTGGGGAATTTTTTGGGTGTGTGTGGAAACAAAAGACCCAAAAGTTACTAATGCAGAATGCCTGTTTTCTGCCTTTTTAATGGAGCACAAACTGCCACTGATTGCATCGAATCATGCTGCAGCATTTTTTAGAAAAATGTTTCCCAACAGTTAAATCCAAGTGCAAGGACAAAAACATCTGCAATTGTAGAAGTTGGTATGAAAAATACATCTTCAGTTACTGATTGCATTAAAACAGTTCGATTCTGCCTGTCTACAGATGGAAGCAATAATACTCATGCAAAACTATATCCAATTTTTTTGTTCTTTCTTTCTTTCTTTCTTTTTTTTTTTTTCCTCCTTTTAAATCCAGATTCTTCAGAAATTGAGTGGAGCTTACTTTCTATTCCCTTACTTTAAAAGGTGATTCGACAGGCTTTAATATATAGCACAGCTAATTATTAAAACTTTAAAAGAAAGTGCAGTTCTTCAAGGTAATTCCTTAGCACTTAGTGCCGACAATGCACCAGAAATTGAAGACTGATGTTGCAGGCATCTTAAAAAAGAAAATTCATATTTGCAAATTATGAAGTGCACCTGTCACCTCTTAAATTTAGGGCTATGAACCTCTTTAATAAAAAGGGTAAGCTTCTTTGCCAGTAAGTGTGCTTGACAAGGGACACAGATTATTTTAATTTATCTTGTGAAGAACGAATATTTATGATTTTGGTCTTTGGATCTTAACAAAGCCTTTTTCCTTTTTCCCATCATTCAGTGTTCCTAACACAAATCTCCAGTGTAGAATTACGTTAATTCATGTTTTATAATCAATGATTAGTGATTTGGTTGAAGTATTATTTAATGATTAGGGAAAAACTGATTAGAGTATTTTTCTGTTATTAGAAAGTACATGAAATGAAACTTCCTTCTTTTTTTTTTCTTTCTTTTTACATGTAAGTATTTTTGCATTTTAGCATTTAAGAAATGTTAACTGAACTTTCAGAGATATTAATTAGTTACTATTTAAAGTTAGTTCATTATAAAAAATATATTTTCTTTCTACATATTTTTATTATTTAAAAAATCTTTTTGTCATTAAGAAAATTCTTCTGATTTCTGTAAGTTGGCAAGTGTGCACTAACTAAAGATGATAAATTCTTGTGAATGTAAAAGGCTTCAAGGAAATTCAATTTCCAAATTAAAGAAGCTTTAATGATATTTTTCACCAAAACAAAGTCAAAACTGTGTTTAAGTGCCCAATTGTATTAACTATTGAAAATGTATCTTCAATAGTTATGTGTTTCTCTTTTTTGAAATATCTTTAAGAAGTGAACAATGGATTTTACTGATAGATGAAAAACTGAAAGTTGAACTTATAAAAAATCCTATGAATTGTGAAACTGATAGATGGAATGCGATAATGAGAAGATTGCTGTCATTATTTCTAATAGCAGAAGATTTTTTCATAATGGTTTTAAAAAAAATTAAGTGCTTTGTCAATGATTATGGAAGAAAGTTCTCTGTCATAGCAACTGATATAGAGTAACTGAATTCCTCAGTAAGAACTGCTGAGAATGTTCATAATTGTCACTAGAACAAATTGTAAATTAAATGTTTTTAAAATTAGACCTTTTATTACAAGATAAAATGAAGATTTAAATTAAGAGATGTGTTTATCTCTTTCAAACCACTCAGTTTTTCAAGAAATAACAGGCTGATTAAATTTCAAAGGCAAACTGAAGAAGTGAATATTAGAATTAAATATTCTGATAAATGGTTATTTGTAAAACTATATGCAGAATAAATTTAAATCGTATTCTCTGCCTTTAATAATTATAATAATAACTAAAATATAATAAACTAAAATTAAACAACTTTATGAAAAAGATTAATACATTTCACATACCTGTTAAGTACCATGCTTCACAAGTATTTGTTCATAGTAATGTTCACTTTCTGCACATTAATTGAATGAAATTCAGTGCATTACGAGCAGAATTTATTTTGGCATCTTCTCTGGTATTAGCTGACCCAAAACATACGGCAACCGGCAATGAAGTTATCTGCAACAAACAGTGATAATCTCCTGGAAAAAAAAATCACATTGCATTTAATTTACAATATAATTTTATAAAAATAAATAAATAAATAAATAAAAAAAAAAAAATCTGATGTGTACACCACATGACTTCCTTGTACAGAATATTAAATTATAAGCATTTTTTCTTGCATTTTATTTAAACTTATTAGATTGAATTAAACCTACTTCGCCAACAGCGCATAAACCACAATAGAATAAATGCATTCTTTAAAATTCACTTTGTTTACCATAGCGACACTCTGGCGCTAGGTTTACTTAACAGTATTATATTTCGTTCATATTATAACTCTAAATGCACAAAATTTATATCATTTAAAGAATTATCTAATCGTTGCCACATGTTCTATTCAAATACTATAATAAAGCTAGAACTATGTACAAAAGAAATTAAGCAAACAAAACAAAAAAGAAACAGTTTTTCACAGACGATTGAGTACTTCTCATTCAATTAATTCATTTCTCACTTCGCGACAAGGCAAAAATACATAAAAACTCAAAATATCTGTATTAAAAATTACGAAGTAAATCTTAAACGCTTATTTCCTCGAAAAATTCAAGAAAGGATTAAGCATGATTTATTTGGCAATAAATGAATGTGTTATCTTTGTTGTTGTGAAGCTAAGTTTCTCTAGATTGGCAACAAATCCACTAATCTCCTGTTTCAGATGTGAAGATCAATGGCCGCTATCAAATTAGGCTTAGCGGCACTTAAACAATTTTAAAATTGTTGATAATTCTAAAAATATTGCATACAGATTTACTAAAGGCATAAAACCCTCAACCGGAAAATAAAAACCAAATAATTCAATCATTTTTAAAGCAAAAAATGTACAATTTACAAACATATAAGAGTAAAGAAACTGAGATCACTGAGCCGGGTAACAGAGTGGATATATTTATAAATATATTTATATACGTTTGGCGCGGCCGATTGAAACCAAAATACAAGGTGCACATCTACATGATATAGTAGTCTTATATACAAAATTTCAACGTTCTGAGGGTACTCGTATTTGAGTTATGCGAGATACGTACGCACGTTCGTACAGACGCCACGAAAAATTCTCTTCAGAATTCATTTTAAAGCAGTTTTTTTAGTTTTTTTGGAGGAAAAGAGCCTTTTATTCTGTCCTTACGTACAGATATCACGCAAAAACATCGTTACATTGTATTCGAAAGCGGTCAAAGTGGATATTTTTGTTGAAATATGCTGCCTGAAGCTTTTCGCGATTACAATACTTCCTTTTTACAAGGAAGTAAAAATAAGGTAATCGTGCAGAATGCGATCTTCCATTTTCTTAATTTATCATTTCTTTTTGTCATAATTTAATCGCCCATTCAAATATGAAAGCTATTGAATTTTTTATTTTATGAAGCTAATGTTAGAATTTTAAAATAAATATAAAATGGCTAAAGTGACGAATAAGGTGCACGCCAAATTTGCCGATTTTTTACGTGTTAGATAATGATTTTATTCTAGTAACCTTACTTTTTCATTCTTTTCTTTAATAATGATTTCATTTTGGCAAATGGAACTTTTTATAACCGGAATTAATGACTTTGGAGGACGTTACAATAACAATAATGTAATATATAATCGATATAATTTTAGTGTGCAATGCTGAATTTATATAATTCTTTGATGTCTTTTAAGTGGATCGGTATGTATAAAAGGAGAAAAATAATAATGTATATAAAATATATAACATTTAATGTGCACAACACTGAGACTGTGTGAATGCAATTTTCAGATTTTTTTAAAGCGAAAATAAATCACTGTGCACATGAAGAGAAAAACAATAATGCATGTAATATAAGTAATGTTTAACGTGCATAATGCTGTGCTTGTGCAATTCGATAACGTTAAGTGAAAGCAGATCGCTGTGTTTATGGGAAGAAAACAATGATGAATATATAATGTGTGCACCAAATTTATGCAATTTTGATGTTTTATTTAAGCAAAGACATTGCTGTGGACCAGAACACCAGTAATGAATGCATTGTATATTATGTAGAATGTATCATTTTGTATTCTTAATTTGCATTATTGTATTGATGTATATCTAAATTGCAAAATATAATGCAATTTAACAGTGTTTCTTATCAACAAGAATGCAAGGTAAAATGTCCTTGCTTCTAATTTTAGTTTTTAAAAACCTAGAATAGAAAAAAAAATATGTATATAACTTTTGGTATTTTAAATAGGATTGCAAGATTTAAAGGCTTGTGGCATATGCCTTAGCATATATCAGAATTCTCTTTGAACTTATTACTTCCTCGTACTTTCTGTCATTATTTTTCTTTAATTTGAAACCTACCCAGACTTGCTACATCTCAATTTTCATTTTATTATGCAGTTATGGATTTTAATGATTAACAAATTTTTTAAATAATTTCCATACTGCTGAAAGAAAATTAATATTTTTTCTGTAAAATTTTACAAACTTTAGCAATAATATCAATATTTGTTTTCAATGGCATTCTTATGTTTAAGAAACAATGTAAGCAAGAAATACTTTTCCTTTATTTTACCAAAGGTAACAATCTTTTATTTTCTTTAAACATGATGACATCATTTTGTGTTGTTAGAAAAGACTTCACCAACAAAATATTATTATCTACAAATTAGTTGCAAAACCATTTAATTTCCAAAATTATTCATCCTAAAGTTTTCCTCAAGATATGATAGGATATCAGTTACTAAATTCACTTATTCCCTTCTATTCATAAGGTATCCTATGCAGCTCTAGAAAAGTTATATGTCAAAGAATAAAGTCCTTTGGCAGTGGAACACTGCTTTGAATTCTTTAAATACCATTTTATTCTACTTTTCCTGTTTTAACTGAAGCTGATTTTGATTGCATTATTTTAGAAACAAGCTTAGAATCAGAAGCATGCAAAATTCAAGAGGAAATTTTTTAGTGATTTTTTTTAAGCATCTCAAATTTTTTCTTGTATACGAAATTTATTTTATAATTTCATATAGAAGAAAAACCATCTGGAAAACGGTTGTGTCCTTGAAAAACAGCAGTTCGGGCCAAACAATGATGTCTAAATTCTTTCATTTATCTTCAATAATGAATATTGTTCAATTTTAATTAATCTTAACAGTTGTGTCACATATATAGCATATACAAAATAAATATACTATTACAGTTCTAAATTTAAAAAAAAAAAAAAAACCATTAAATGTTTAACACTCCTTTACAAGTTGTATAACTACTTCAGATATTAAAAACTGCATCAAATGTAGGTAAGAAGATATAAATTTAAATTAAAAAAGGAAAGCTGCATAAATGCTGTTATGCAATGCTAAAGTTTTTATAACATGCTTCTCAAAATGGCTATATATATTTTTTTTTATTAATGCACTTTTATATGACTGCAATTAAATAAAAAAATCTCCCTTCAAATAAAAATATTAGGATAGTTATTTATTTCTCAGCTATACATACCATTTTTTCCTCTCTGTTCAATTGGAATGTAAATTATTTCAAAATTTTGCTCAGTAGCAATATTTTGTAATAGTTTCAAACAATCCAAATTTTGATCCATGAGATCAACATCTTGCAAAGCGTGTAAAAAGGAACTTGTAGATGTTTTAAGATCTTTCAGAAATTTTAATACATTTTTAGAATAAGTTTTCTGCAGATTTGATATTTTGTTGTCAGGATCTTCTTTTGCAAAGACTCTAATGTCTTCATACTTCTAAAAATAAAATAGACAACATCAATAACAAAGTACAACAACTCATTGTTTAACTGTAATGCAACTAATAAATTACACATACTGAAATATAACAGAGTTTAGTATAATAAATAAAAGAATTTGAAAAATAAAATGAGGTGTTACATAGCTCATAAAATTTTTGAACTCTTATTTATTCTATTCATTTCCTTTGCATTGTTGCTACAAAATTTGATTGAAACTGATCATGAATTGAGTAGAGCTCATTTTCATCTATTAGTTATTTTAGCATTTATTCTAAAGGTTTCATTCTTAAGGCACATTGAAGCTATGCATTGTATACATATATATGTAAAATATAAAAAATATATTGCCTTTGCTCTACTTGAAAAGGCAAATTTCTAATTAACTTTCCGCAATTTCAGGATCTTCCCCCTAGACCAATACTTTCGAGGACATTCTGGCATGTTATGTAACTGCTAATGTAAATCCAGAGTTCGCGTCATTTTTCGTCAGACCGCTTCTTACTATCGCTGCTACAAGATTCTGCACTGCTCTGTTCATTATTTGTTAGAAATGTTATGACGTCAAAATCCTAAATTTAACCATATTTTAATTTAAATAATTATTGGATATGTAATTTGGAGAATTTCATCTAAAGTACAAATGATCTGCCATTTGAATTGAATAAAGATGTGGAATCAAAACTGCTAACTTCTTCTATGTCATCGTTGGATACTGCCTTACACTCAGCCACAACAATGCCCAGACTCTGATGTAATTATATTGCCAAGCTTCGTTATTTCTGTGTCTGACTGATATAATTATTACATATATGTATATGCAGTGCGTATCTTCAACCATAGCACTGCATATACAGAGAGAGACAGCAAAGCACTGTATATATATTGTTACGAAATGTACAGGCGTGGTAAGATGACTTCCCCCGCAAAGAAGTTTTGGGTTGCCATAAAATGGCAAGGGAAGACAGGGTTGCTACATTTGGTGAGCAATCGCCCATTTGGCAACAAAATCGGCGATATGCCATGGACGGCTGGAGAACCTTTTGGAACGAATTCTTACCGGTTTAGCCCAGAATGTTCTTGAACACAAGCCGAAAGCTATATAAACCCTGCTGGTCCGCAGTCAGGGAGAGTGTGCCTCGTTTAGCGAGTTGATAGTCAGTCATTGAGCGAGTGTCTCAAAGTTTAGCGCCGAGTTGGTCGTCGAGTGTATCATGAATTAGTGCATCGTCGAGTTTTATCTTAGACTGTGCTGAGTCGAGAGCTATACTCTAGTGTATCGTCGAGTGCATTGTGAGTTGTAGCGTGGAGAGTCTCGAGAGTACGTGGAGTTCCGAGAACAACCAAGCAGAGTCGGAAGCTGAAGGCTGTGACGCTGAACGTGGCGTGTTTATAACAGTTTGACGACTGTAAAAACAATTTTGGAGTTATCTGATTAACATTGGTAAATAAAGTGTGTTTCTATACTTCATCAAGTGCCGAAATTCACTCCAAATCCACGAACGTGAAGGAAGAAAATAACGTAACAACTGGTGTCAGAAAAGAAAAACGTAACAATATATATACATATATACAATGCATAGTATATATATACACACACCAAACAACTGAATTTTATACTTTTGCATGGTTTCAAAAGATATTTTCTTATTAGATTAGCTTATTTGAATATAACAAAGCAGATAAAGACTATCTGCCTAAGGGCAGCAATGTCTTTATGGATGATTTTTTAAGAGAAACTGGCATGCATTTATGTTACACGTGACAAAAACCAATGATGCAGCCAGCCCATTCATCTGGGATCAAACACTCTCCCAGTATTCAGCGGACTTAGCCACTGGTGACCAAGATGTTTGTTGAGGATTTATCAAATGATTGCTGTATTTGTTTTGTCACAAAAAATCAGCATATTTTTATTATAATTTACTGATCCCATATTTTTGAGTCTGAACTTTTTTTGGTACTATTAGATTGGAGAACTGTTAAAAAAAATTTTAATAAGCATCTCGGAACTATTTTCCCTTCTTTTTAATAAATAAATACCAATGCCAATCAACAGTGAATAAAACCTTTCACTGATTTTCAGTATTAAACACCATAAATTAATCACTTAAAAAGCCATTTTATCTGGATTTCTTAACATCATTTGGCAGCAAGAATCATTTTATACCATATAAATAAAATACAATTCTAACACGTTATAATTGGTAGATTTCAAAATTTCTAATTTTACTTCTTTAATATGTCAATGTCTGCATCAAAAATAAAATCTTACAGTTATGATGAAATTTTATAGTAACATACAATAGATGTATGTAAAAGTTCTATCCATGTTTAAATCAAAAGGAAGAGCAAAAAATGGAAACTGGTTGCAATTTCTATCACTTTTAATTATTAGGCATAACATCTTGCTATGTCTTTGGTAGTAGGCTTACCTAATGCCAGTCACTCTTCTTTTTAGAGTCAATTAAGTCTTGTGATGATGTTTTCATATCATCAAAAATTTGGGAAGTGAAGATGTTCTTTGGTATCAAGTGAGGTAGGGACAAGGCATGGTAATGTCATTAGAATTTAAGACTTCCCACCCAAACTTTAGTAACATTTGCTGACAGAAACAGCAGGGAGGGTTGGCATTGTCATGATGAAAGATAACATATTAACGATTGATGAATGTATGTCCCATAGATATCAGTTCTCCTTGAAGTCTATACAACTGCTGACAGATATAGATCTATATTATTTAGTTGCATCCCAGTAAATTATTCTCTTTATATCCCATCATGCACCTAACAAAACATTTTCAGATGCAGTTCTTCTTCTGAAGTGTATGGCATAATTTTCCAACTAGGCACAGTCCTTCAATTTTTAACATTACAGTATAATATCAACTTCTCATCTTCCATTATAGATTGATCCAAATATGGCTCACATTTGTAACCAGAAGGCAACAAAGCATAGGTATTGACTCTCATCTTCAGAGAAAGTTGCTTAGAATTCACTGATCGACCCTTTGTGTTAAACTCAATGATAACATCCATCTTCTAAAAATTTAGTGTAACAATTCTCCTAATTTAAATGTAGTTGGATACAGTTAGCTTTCTTTTGTCTGACTCAGAACTTTAGAAACCACTAATGGACATCCAGAACATGACTGATCTGTACTTCATTTCCAAATTGGAATTTCTGGGTACGGCAGCAGGATATTCTGTTGTCAACAAATGCTATAGCAAATTTTTGTTGCAGTATTCCCTGTATAAAATCCGTACATTAAACTAACAGAAAGCTTTTTAGAATGCACCTGTATTTTGGGATGAATATAGGAGTCTGCACAAAATTTTAACTACCGTTCTACTATATTTTTGATAGTATATTCATGACTGGGTATGGTTCATTTTTTAGGACCTAGTCCAAAATTTTATCAGAAAGAACTGAAGGATGTCAGAACATGATTTATTTGTACATCATCTGTCTGAAAAAACAGTGGCATTTATTTTTGTCAACTGCATCCTCCTTGTGCCTTTAACAAACACTACGGGTATCTACGGCCGAAATATTGCTTTTAATCAAATGTAGAGTAAATATGAGGTACTTCTAACTTTCTTGTGCTTTTAAAGTGTTAAACGTATGAGTTACTTTGAAAAAAAGTGTCTTTGATGTCTTACTTTCTACTGATAAAAAATCTCAGTTATACTATAAGTTATATATTTTCAGTTATACATAAGTCATCCGAGAACAAGTTACCTCTAGAAGACGAGTACAGCTTTTGTAAGCACTTAACAGATTGCAAGCTTCTCTACATATTCCATTTTCTTTGCCTCCCCCCTTTTAAATTCTTTTTTTTAAAACAAATATTTACTGATTAAATATTAATTAACATTACATGACTCTTGATAAATACTCATTATATCATTTATATAATATATAATATAAATGATATAATGTTTTACAAATAGATTAAGAAAATTCTGATTAAATAAAATTTAACAAGAAAAGTTATTCTAAAGATAATTAGGAGTGAGAGAATAAATTTGTACAATTAAAGTTTCATTAATTAAAAAAATTTCACATATTTCTTAAAAATGCTTTAATTAGTAAAGGCTAAAAATTAAAAACCAGGAAATGTGACAGAACGTGGGAGTCTCATGGTAAAACTGATAGGTTAGATTACGTAATTTGAATACTACAAAGCATATGAGGGCTTTGTGCCTAAGGGGAGGGATGCCTTCATGGAGGATTTTCTAAGAGAAAGACTCATATTCACATTAGACACATAGAAAACTAACCTTGCAGGCAACTCATTTGCCTGGGGTGAAATGTCCAGCATTCAGCATTCTTAACCTCTGGGGCACCGGTGGGGCATAAAATTGCTAGAATTCACAGTTACGACACAAGATTTTGAATTCAAAACAAAATGTCGGGCCAGCTACAGTACTTCTAGACTCATACTTACCAATGACATAGCAACTAATTAAGCTTTAGTCTTTTAGAAACACAGAGGGAACTAACATTCAGTAAAGGGCCATTCACCCTGGTGTTTATCTGAGCTAACAGATCTACAGTGTCTCACAAAAGTGATGGGACACTTGTGCTTAGGATACTGTAATGTGCTAAGGATACTGTAATAAAATAAATTAAAAAAACATGCAGAAATTTTTTGTGGGTGTGCTTCATACTTAAATTTAGTAACAATTATTACATAACATACATTTTCTCAAAATATTAAAATATTAATTTAATAAAAATACAATTGTTTAGAACGGAGCAAAAAAATGGTTTACATAAGTGATGGGACACCATTAGATACTACTACGTACTATGCAACAAAAATCGTCTGAAGTAAGCAATAAAAATATCTTTTGGGGTATTTATTTTTACTCAAAAGCAATTGCCAATAATTTATAAAATCGTCTGCAGTATTTCTCTCCAGTTTGTTTTGGAATTTTTGTGTTTTTTAGCTCTGTGCAGCCATGAATGCTAAACGAAAAGAAACTTTGCCTG